CCACTTCAAGCAAGTTAATGGAACTGCAATCAGCACAGACCAGCCACCAGATTGTCACCACAGTTCAACAGACTCTCATGAAACTCTGGAGATGAAAAGGGCCTACCTGCCAATATTGCATTTTCAGTTTGCTAACAACACTTTGTTTTCTCCCTCATTTCAGTGAGAAAGGAGTCTACATGGATTTGGTTCATTCATTTGAAAGGCTGAAATCTTGACAGGTCTGAAAAATATTCACTACATCACACTGACAATTAAATATACCAAAAAAACCCTCCAAAACAAAATCAAAACCACAGTTTCCTTTGGCAGAGTAAAAACTGAGTATATTAAGGGTAGTGTCAAAAGTTAGCAATGTGCTGAAAAAATTAATAAAAAATTAAAAAGTGATCCTATGTATTTTCTGTCTGAATACTCAAAATCCTGAGGCCAAAGAGGACTTTTCCTCTTTTGATACCCACAAAAGTTTATTGCATTCCTTAATCGCACAACCCAGCCTACCATCAGGCTGACTTTCAGTGGTGCTGTTGAAATCTGGCAGAGATGAAATCTGCCACAGCCATGGCACTGCTTTACCACACCTATTCTTCTTTTCACTATTTCCATTGTTTGTACTTACACGTGCTCGGTTCTCTGGAGATCACTAGTTTTTTTGTTCCAATCTTTCCAGCTGTTACCCAGTAAGAAAAATTAAACAATCTAAATGTCTAAAAGTAAACTATCCTGACTACAGATAAAACTGCAGCTTGCAGTGGCTTTACCTCTCTGACACCATGGGGCCCCCACGGGCTGCACTGCACGGAGCTGCTTGGGAAGTGCTGGGGAGGGTTTCTCCCTGGGCCGAGTTACTGCTCTCTTTGCAGCCTTTAGATATGGTACTTCTCTAGAAATACACTGAGGAGGGAATGAAGGCAGTGCCACAGAGAGAGAAGAAATATTTAAGATGCAGGAAGCTTGCAGCAACGGCCATAAATAAATGTAATAGGGAAATTTGGAGAAAATACCTAACCATTGGACATCAAGCATGAGATAAACCTATTACCAGGAGTACTGGGAAAATTGCCCTTCAACTTAGAAAATGAGGGCTGACACATTCAAGAGGGGAGGATTTGATGCAGTTGCTTGTGACACCACTGCTGCTAGACCAGACTTAAGTGAACCCAGAAGGTCCATTTGTGCTCTGAATTATCATGTTCTCTTACTAAGCCTACTCAGAACTGTGTCTCAAGACAACTGCATTAACTGAAAAGAGTGGAATGGTTCCTGTCCTGGATACTTGCAAAGACTGATAGATTATTCTATGGCCAGTTACATCCTCAAAATATGACTAAAATCTGAATACGTGTTTGTTCTGTAACTAAATGTTACATGCTATCCATTGAAATCAGTCTAAGAAGATCTCTTACTTCCTGTATTATGTGAAACAGGACATTATTGGCATTGCTTTTCAAAAGAGAAAAATAAATTACATTTAAAATACAATCACTTGTCTTTTTGTGCAAATTCTAGAGTTTATGAATCCCTCTGATGGCCTTATAAATACATTCATAGTATGCTCTGTTGTTCAAAACAAGGACAGGACGCGGGCAGGGCCGCCCCGCCGCGTCGTGTGTCCCGGGAAGGGACCGAGAGATGCCTCCATCCCTCCGGGCTTGCCAGGCTCCCAGACCTGGCGCTGGGAGGGAGAGGGCAGGAGCCTGACGCATGCTTGCCAGGAGCAGAAAATGCAAACCAATTGCTGGCCTTGCAAACATCCTCCCTCTTAAGAAAGGAGACGTTTATTCACAAGAGATTTGAGTAAAGGCAGCATTTAAAACAATGTCATTAACTCCCTGCATCTGCGTAAGGAACGTCTGAGTGTGGCAGTTTGCTTGTTTGGGTCACAGCTTTGTTCAGTCTATTTAACGTCTCCTTTTCACCCCATTACTCACAGCCCTGTCACACACAACGGCACAGCACGGGGAGTTTAAGGTCATGCACATTTTTGAGGCTATTTAATTACAACCCATGGATTGTGTTTCAAACCTTGCTTATTACAGCTGGATTGGAGCTAGTCAATCATTAGATCTCTCTAATACGCTATCTCTATCCCTTTTCCCATTAGAAATAAATTCTTCTTTAAATGGCATCAAAGACACATCTTATTCATAGCAAGCAGAAAAAGTTTTTAAACATAGTCTGACATCTTAGTTATTGCTTTTAACTTAAGCCATAAAACAATCTATAGGTGCTACAAAAATTCTAATAGAAAGAACTCTGTGTTTCTAATATGAGTTACAGAACAAGGTAAGAAATAACCCTAAAGCTTTATCTAAATAAATGTCAGCTTTTCACAGTGAACTGAAACTCACCATATATTTTCATTTGTGGTTTCTGGATAGCAGAAGATATTGAATTAGGCATCAAACCTTCACATCGCTCTTTCAAAATTTGGTGTGTATGGGCTGGACTGAACGGCCAGGAATAATCACGCTGTTCCCTTTGGCATAGTCTTAAAAAGATTCTGATAGCGTCAGGGGAAATTTATCCAAGAAAATATGAAGCAGACTCAGAATGCTGAAACGATGTAGGCTTAGTCATAAAGAAAGTCTGCAGCTTGTGCAGACACTTAAATTAGCTTTAATTTAGATAAGTAAGGGATCGATAGCAATAAAGTCAGTATCAGCATGGATTTCAAAGCAGGCTAGTTATTCCAGTGAAGAACCCACCATCTCCATGGGGCCCAACCAGTCCGCAGTTTCTGTGAGACTGCAACTTCCGTGCTGTTCTCTGAACAAGCTACATTACAACATCAAGCTGTACCTCCACGTGCTGCATGTACACTTTTCAGCTTCAGTACAGATGCACTCAGTATAGACAACATGAACGCCACTGCTGAGAAAATACTGGAAATGGCATTCAACCAGCAGCGTGGTGAAACCTGGCACATATTTAGTGATCACTTGGCCCTCTCAAACACTGCTGCAGCCCACACGGACACACCTCAGAGCACTCCTGGCCCTCTTCCCCGACGACCGTCCAACAGCAGGTAGCTCTCCATGCCCTGGGCAGTTTGGGCTGGCTCAGGTGTGGCCCAGGCACACTGCCACCATGCAGCTGACATGGGATGGCACACGTGCTTGTGTGGTGCAAGGCAAGAAAGACTTCCCGACGTACCTTGCTTCAGCTATGCTCAAGTCAGGGGAAGGTGAACCTTCAGCCTTAGTAGAAGCAGCCCAGCGCTGGCCATCGAGGCACTGGGCTCTCTCAGACTCTGTTATCGGCTGGGATCGACGTGCCCCTGCTGTTCCCTGGCAGGACAGGAGTCAATGCGCACACAGTCCCACCGACAAGGGTGACCACCACACCACATTTGGGACCACCACACCACATTTGGGATATTCTAACTGCAGTGGTTTCCAGAAGAGCTGTACTAGCAAAAGCACATTTTTTACTGCGTGCGTCTATGCGCCAGTGCTTACCTTGTGTAAGAATGTATTTGAAAGAAAAAAATGATGTTATTAAACAAGTGGAAGCAGAAGACTGAAGCAGCTTTGAGGTGCTCCAAAATGCCTTCCATGGTAAGATGAATTGAAACCGTATTATCAGACACTTTGTTCTGTCTTTTTAGCTGCCAACCTAATGACTGAGCTATTATAGTATCACTGTTCTTACGTTATAGCCTCAAATGCACTCAAACCTAATTTAAAATCCACCTTTTGCTCTGAAGCTAAAACCATGTTAGTGGTGAAAATGAGGCCAACTGCATCCAAATTTGCACTTAAAAAATTAAAGGCAGGATTTTCTTAGCAGAGGATACTTGGTTGTCTAATTTACTACCACCAGAGATCATGCCCTCCCTTAAATCATGACATATGACTTTTCTCTCTAATTTAAAAAAAAAAAAAAAAAAAAAAAAAAGCTGCAATGAGCTGGAGCTGTATTTTTTAAATGCTACCACTTTATTTGGTGTAGGAAGTAAAAAGAGACTTATGTCTCTTCCCCTAGGGACAGCATATTTCCAGATGTATGAAAGAAAAAGCAGATACTATTTAGCATCTCGAAGCCTTGTCTACAGATGCACTGTACATACACACAGTTAGTAAGAGATAAATTAGTAAGTCCTGGCCTGAGAAAGCTTCCCGTCAAAACAGGAAGGATGAAAGGATGGGGAAAAAAGAAGTAATATATATTTTTATATATATTTGAAAGCAAAGAACCTAGAAAATAGATCATTTGCCTATTGCAATGACCTAAGACTGTAAGGAAACCCTGTAAATACGGACTTAAACTTAATTCCCGAGTCTCAATCCAGTGTCACAAAACCATTACTTCTCCCAAAACAGTATATTAAGGAAATACCATCAATAACAAAGCAAATTGCAGACTAGAAGGATCATAAATAAAATACCACATAGAAATGTAAGTATGAACAATTCTGACTTTTAAAAACTTCCTCTTGTGCCCAATTTGAATAATTGCCTGTTTTATAGAAGCTGGCAAATATATGCCTCTTGTAATAAAAAGTCACTGAGCACCAAAATTTCTGTTTCCATTTAGAATTATCCACCATAATATATTGATTCCTGTGTTGATCACAATCAAAATATTGTTATGGCTTACATATGAGGTCCCCCTCCTGGATATAAAGAAAAAGGACAGAAGGAATGTATTTAGGGAAAACTGAGGAAAAAAGAATTGAACTTCTACCTGAGAACTACTTGTAGACACATTTTTTGTTGCATATTTCCTATTTTTCTCCTCCAGTGCTAGAGAGAGCTGACTGTTTTCCAGCTGGAAAAAAACCAGCTATACTTCAAGACTTTCCCCTTTCCCACAGTATCTGTATTCCTCTAGCATTTACATTTTATGAAATCTTTTTGAAAGAGAAACTAGTTCTTTAAAAATCCACACTGTGGTGGCAAAGACCTTAATCTCTCACATTGTCCCCAGAGCCTGTCTCTTTAGGATTATTATAGATTAGATTATTATGGAAAGGAAGATTTAAATATCTTATTTACCTGAACAGCGTCATAATACATTTTCTTGCCTTCTTCATCTGTCTTGTCTGACATCAGCCATGCCTTGAGCAAATATTCATAAAAGCTGTCCCCAAGTCCTCCAATGGAAACATGATCTAAAAAGGGAAGAAAGATTCAACAGCAAATTTCATCTTTAGCCTGGGCAATAAAATACAATTACAGTTTGAAACAGTGCATTTAATGCATTTAAACATCTCTTCCTACAACAGTCTTTAATAAATGTAAAACTGGAACCTCAGGAAAAACTTAACTGGTATATGCAGATAATTATTTCTTCAATTGCTAACTTTTTCATCAGGCCAAAGCACAATAGTTACTTAATACCCACAATGTGCTACAGGAGTTCACGGCAAAGAAACAAGAATTTATATGTGTGACTTCTAACTCATTTAGTCTATCCCATTCAAAAAATGTGCTAACCTAAGTTCTTTTTAATTTTAAAACCAGGAAAAAAGTGAGAAAGTGCTCTCTAATTTCTCAAAGTCTTTCCCTCTTAACATGCAGGCTTTTTTTTTTTTTTTTCCTCTTTTATTCACTATTGCTCCATTTGAGTCACTTCACAAAAAAGACCAAAATATTTTAGCTCCTTACTTCAGAGTTGAATTTCAGGTTATTTTATGCCATTTCAAAATGCCGACCCATACGTTTAAAAATAATACTACATTTTTGAACATCCGGCTGCTCTCAGAACTCAGCAGTGGATCTAGAAAGGAAAAAGATGACTTTGCCACATCTACAGATGATTATTGCTATCATGCCGCTTTATTCTGCCCTACGCTTACTATGTGAAATGATCTGGTACTAGTAGAGGTGCTGTGATTATTCAGCTGCATACATTTAGGACGTGAGCCTGCAGCATTAACAGCGAGTCAGATTGTCTGATGTCAGTTGCACCAATGATGTGAAAGTTGTTGGTGATCTCAGCTGCTTGCACAAGCCTGCACTCACGGGCTGTCCAAGAGCCTACAAGATCCTTGGAAAAATTTCAATAGGCTTTCATATGATTTCAGCATAGATCCCCTAAATACATTAAATACTACAATTATAAAGTGTTTCTCTGGGCTCCGTTAAACTGAGAACACTAGCTAGAGGTTTTATTTTTTTAAAGTAGATGCTGCCTGGTAACATTACGGGATTTGGCATTTATTGAGTCTCCAGTGAAAGGATTTCAAAGTGCTTTACCAGGACTACTCATTGATAGCTGCCAATTTTACAGCGCGGAAGGCGTCCGCTAATTCCACCCAAGACATCCAGGGTGGAGATGTGGGTACATGCATCACGCAGCAAATTCATGAGTCATACCACAAAATTCTGGGCATGAGAAAAGCAGAAAATGCACAGGGTAATCCAAGCTCATAAAGCGAGATGCAGAAGAGTTAGTGGTACAGAGCTCCCACTGCCCAACACCTAACTGATCTTGGCTTCAAAGTAATGCCTCCTTTGCATTCAAAAAACCACAGATAATTTATTTTTAAATTCCTTTGCGTCTTCTCTTCATGGAATGCCTCCTTTTGCCTACTGAACAGGTTGCAAAGCCATGCAAATGTAGAAGATACATTTTTTTTCTTTTCAAACTTTATTAACAATGTCTTTTTCCTCCACTAGCCTGGGACATAAAAAAAATAATTTAGTTTTCCAAATGTATCCTGTCCCTTTGCCTAACGAATACATTGTACCATCAAACCTGGGTTATAAACTGCTTTTTCCCCACCTCCTCTTTTGAATGAGATATATTAGATTTCTGTAAAGAATACACTATTTATTTAATTAAATGTTCATTATCCAAAAGGAAAAGAAGCTTCTTAAAAAAAAAAAAAGAGAACATTTTCAATGATCGAAGGCTGATCTTTGAACAGCAGCATTTAAATGACCTTTACTGTTTCCTAAATAAATTACCATAGAAACCTCTGACATTTGCAAACTAAATAGCACAAGCACAGTTTCATCAATAATAAGCCCTGTTATTATATACATTATTGCAGTAGACAAATCCAATTGACGCATGCTGCAGCAAATCACTGTCAGTTTACTGTCAAAATAACAAGGGCTAAATGAATTTACAGGAACAATGGCAGTGATCCAGCAGGGTCCTTCACAGTTGCAGCACTGCTAGAGAAGAAATGTTCAGAAACTATTCTCCCCCTCTCCACTTGATGTTTGAGAGATAACACTTCTATCTTGTACCAATTAATGGTCTAAATTTTTTTTTTTTCCTGTTGTAATCAAGTGAAAACAGCCCAGAAAAGCAATCTCAAATAAAACATCTCTTAAGTCTTACATTCTGATCTCCTACTATGGGGAAGAAAAAAATCACAGGGGCAACTGAATTGGAAGAGATGCAACAAGATCAAATTTGGTTTTGCTGCTTCAGCGTGCTAGGGGCTGACCTGCATCAACATCCGTGTCCATCACTTGCACATGCAGGAAGCTAATTGCTACATCAGTACTACATGCTATTTATTGGAAAGCAAACCTGGTATAAACTGTAAGTTTTCCTGTGCACACCAGCAAAACTGGCATTTAACGTGAATGACAAGTACTTACGACACAATTATATTAAAAAGAAGGAAATGGCAAAGGCCATAAGGCAGAGTAAGCATTTGACTGCTTTAAAAAAGATAAGGCAGAGCCACTAATGGTGTCAGCAACTAGAAAGATCTGCTCTCATGCAGCTCACCAAAAGGCTGAGTTTCTGCAGCTGACTGAAGCTGAGGAAGGAGGTAACTGGACCTTGGCTGAACCCAGGCTGAGAGATGCTGAGGTGGCCTTCTAACCAAGCCCAGTGCCTACTGCTGTAGGATCAACACTTCCAGTGGGAAGTTCTAATGTTTTACAAAGCCATGCTAAACCAACATGAGTAACAAGTGAGCACACAATTCAAGAACTCCTTCAGTCCTTTCCCTCTCTTGTATTGTCTAACCAGCTCCAGCACTGATAATCTACAGGACTACCTCACCTGCCCGTGTCTTTTGAGACCAAGATAGCATATCTTGATTGTTTTCTTTCAATAACTTAGGGGAGAAAAAATACAAGGACTTTGAACGGGAGGGTGGTAGACTGAACCTAAGCAGGAAAAGTGGAAAAAGAAGAAGTCTAAAATTGTGATCCTGCACACTATGTAGGCTTTGAACATGTTATGAAAATTGGAGAAGGCAATGTACACGAAGAAAGGGCTCAGTCATCAGGAAGGGGCTAAGAAGTTCAAATATTTCAAGCATTTTATCATACTCTTTCCCTTCTAATTTTGGTGTCTCCAGTTCCAAGTGGATTAATGCCAGGACACAGTTCTGTTTAGTTTGCTTCCTCAGTTGTTGGCATTAAACTTCAACAGAAATCAGAGCTGGTATTAACTGGAAAGACTTTTTTTTATTCTTCAGTGGAGCCACACCATTCTAAAAATATGGAATTTGATTCAAATGAGCTGATAATGTTTCCTTAAACAGCTACTTTATAGAGCACTTTAGATTTTTGAATAAAAGACTTTTGTAGTCTACAAATTCCCTTCCAAAACAATACATATTCAGACATATGGCTTGCACAAGCCATACTGAAAGATCAAAGAAAAGTACACTAAAATACAGCAATTAGGATTATTATTTTTATATTTATAGGATTTTTATATTGTATAGAACCTCAGATACAATGCGAGTTTTTATACTTTATAAAAGTTCTTTAGGTATATACAAAAACCACATAACAGTGATTGAAAGAAGTTAATGACTGCAAAGAGCACGCTGATAGACAGGTCACAGTACCAAAGAAGGGATCTACTTACGCTGGCCCCACTGGCCGCTGCTGGGATTCAGATAGTTGGGGTAAAGGCCCTCTGGTTTATCCAGTCGATTTAGAACTTTTCGAATATTCATTACCTATTGAAATGGTACAAAACACTGAGCATGATCCATTTTTCCTCCCAAAATAAAAAACTCTCAAAGTGCAAATATCCCTAAAAATAAAAAAGGTCGTATTCCAACACATATACCTGAATACCTCTGTGCAATCATATTACTATTAAAAAAGATCCTCTAAGCTGATATAATGCATAAATGAGCTCCTCAAAACCTCTGGAGTTGCTGTGTCAGGTGTTGGTAATGAAACAACACAACAGAAGCAAGCTCTGAAGTTCAGGACTTGCCATACAGAATATCTTACCCCTTCCCAGGATACTGAAATTCACAGAGGCTAGTTGCCTTAAATAAGATCAGCTATTTCAGCATTATATTCCTCATACACCCAAATCAGAAATGGTATTAGACATTAAGCCGATCAACTAGTTCAGATGCAGAAGAGAACTGTAAAGCAGTTTTGCATGGAAAGAAGAGCACTGCTGGATCTGAGCTTCATACAACCAGCTTGCCCAGCAGGAGGCCATGCAGCCCTGAGCACCTTGCCGGCTCCCTTAAGGAGCTTGCCACAAATGAGAAGACCAGGGAAACAGTTGCAGAGCATCTGGACTCATCCAGCAGCACAATCCATAGCAGAGCACATGAAATTTATACTGAATTTTAACATTCACAGAAAAAGCAAATATAGTAACTTGGGAGACTGAAGATCCTGAGTACTACAGACCAGAAATTTTAACCAAAAGGTACTGATAGCTTCACTATAACACCCTGAACGCCTAGAGATCAAGTGAACTAGCTGCTGAGAAAGAAGACAAATTAGCTTACACCAGGCTGCAGAAGGATTTCTGTTGTGGCACACAAACTGCCTTCTGCATCTCGATGCTACATTGCTAACAGCCGTTGCCCAAATGCAGACTGCAACGAGTCCTAGACCTCATTTAATGAATTCTTCTATGAATACTTCCATGCAAAGCTTGTTCCAGTGTTCCCTCTTCTTTATCAAGTGTACCAGCCCTGGAATGGCTTGCCTCGGAGGGCTGTGGAATTGCAGTCTCTAAAGGGTTTTAAGAGTAGCTTACAGAAACAGATTTTCAGCATTTTGCAGCTATAGCTTAATGCCACTTTGGAAGAGAACCACAGGCTGGGATTTTTAACATATGCACTTCCATCACACTTTAATTGCCTCTTAATAGAACAGATGTTATATATTAAATTACCATAAATGTCAAAAGAAAATTAATTTACCTAGTAAGTTTGTTTCTGGCTGTTCCTGGCTGCTGCCACCCTCCCCAGTCTGCCCCCCCTCCCCAGTTCCAATTTAAGAGAAACTCTGGTCTTTAAATTCACCCCTAAATACATTCAAATTGCTAGGAGTTCCTTTCACAAGATTTATTCCAGTGCTGACAATGATGTCGCAGTAAAGTCATTCAGTCCTTTGAGTCTGGTACAACTAGTATTCATTTTAGATTTGACTATTGCTTTTAAACCTACTGCTAAAACATTTGGAGTCTCATTATTAATTAGATTATTAGATAGGTAATATCAGTTTTAGCTAAGATGGAGCAGTTGGAGTAAGAATACAAACCCAAGACAACTGCAAGCTTTAATTAGGAAAAAAAAGAAAGAAAAGACAAATGATATGGCGTATAATAAAGAACAGGACTTGCTGACTATTTATGCACCAAAAAGCAAAGCAAAATTTCTTAGGTAGGAATTGAGTGCTTTTCATGAGAGCCGAGTTGCTTTCCATGGCTTACATAAATAAAAAGTAGCCAGAAAATAATGTTATCAAATTTTGGAAAAACCAGTAAGCACAGCAACTGTTTTGTCAAAGGATGGTTTGTTTTGTTTTTTTCTTCCCCCAAACAAAGATCAAAGCACATTTCTTAAAGGTCAGTGCAATGGAAGGGCTTTCTGACCTTACTGACAGTAGTGATACTATTCAGCATTTTGAAGACTAAACTTGCTGAAATCACACAAGGTAGCCATAGTACTTTGCTTTCTATAGGCATCATATATTAACCCAAATATACTGTAAATTTTTGTTTTAACCACATTCAGGCTAAGTACTGAAGAAAGCTCTATAGTCCAATTGTTTAATGTGATAAAATTTAGAACATAAACAGAAACAGTATGTTTTATGGGGCCAGTTAAGTGCTATATACAAGAAGATGCATCACAATGAGTTGGGAACAGATTTTTGACTTTATAATACAAAAACACATCCAGGTGATTAGGGAAACATCTATAAAATATCTACCTCCTGTGACAAATGCTTACAAGTGAGGTAAGTCCAAATCTCTCCCCAGAGATATGAGTCTCCCAACATGTGATTTATCTTTTACAACATGATTTTGACTGAACAGTCTAACCTTTTCAGCAAAGACAGGGTTTCCAGACAGGTGGCTCAAGTGTACGAACTCCAGGTGCAAAGTCCCAAATTCTGCCAAAATGCTGCTGCCGCCAGAGGCCCACGGCCAATTTCGACCTATTCCACTAAAGTAGGGGTGAAGAGAAATACAGAAAATAACCATGAGCACTTATGAGGCAATGCTATTAAAATATAACAGGTAGTAGATATACTGTTATCAAGAGAAGATAAATAATTTAAAATGTACTTAATATCTGCCTAAGAATGATGCTTTGGCAGCCATCCATGACTTCACCACAGGACCTTGAATTACTTCAGTCCAGCTCCATTTAGGCTTGTAAAATCACTTCTTGCAACAAGCCAGTCTCTTAGCTCATGAATAGCTCCATTACACGTATCACGGTACCAATGTTTCACTATATGGGATCACGTTTAAAGACATTACAAAAAACACTGAGTATGAGAAAACATTCTCATACTTCACCTGTTTTCCTGGTATTTAACACAACACTCTCTAATTCTAACTCTTCTTCCTACTGTGCCATTTTTTATTAATTTAAAATACTGCATACATAGAGCATAGACTTAAAGTTAAAAGTACTACATGCAGTATATCCTTCTTAATACCTGGGAATTTAATAGAGTAGGATATTTAGGCATTGTCTGTCTGGGCACTTTTACCAGGACGAGTAACTTCAGTTTTAATTAAGACCTCAAAATACTTCACAGCAAAATTAATCTCAGGTTTTATGCTGAGAATAGAGAAAAGCACGTTTATTGCTAAATCCTCACTAGAAACTAATGCTGGTTGAGATTCAGGCTGAAAAGTGTCCTAAAGTTTCAAAAAGGTGGGGCTTTTCACCTTGAAATCTACAGCAGCACTATTCAGAAAACCCTCTGAAATTAAAAAAGGCTAGCCAACTTTCCAGATCATCAAGGTGAATAATGACATATTAAAACAGCATATTATTAGCATGAATGTTAGATACAAATACACTTATTAGGCACTGGAATGTCTTCCTTATTTTCAAGTTGTAAACAGCATTAAACACACACATATTTATATAAATAAAAACTTAATTTTACTTTTAGACTTAAGCAGTCATTACAGTCATCAGTTAGCACTTGCACAACCATGAAAATCTGGTATTCTTCCTTAGTTAAAATGTGACTCGTATAATGAAAAAAAAACAAAACAAAGCAAAAAACCCAAGAAAACCCATCTTAAGTTCAGTACGATGGGAGTTCTCAGTTCTATTAAAATTTCTTGTTCAAAAGGTCAACTACCTATAACTGAAGTTTAACCAACATAATTAAATGAAGAATTAATTTCTCCACTAGCTATATTAACACATTGTTTTGAGATTTCTGCCACACACAGAAAGTAAAAACAAGTCATTAAACTTTAAAAATAGAGTAAAGGCTACAAATAAAGAGCACATGTGTGTCCTGCTTAAATGTCACAGCTTTAAACCATGCAACATCTTCAGCTGCCTGGCTTTGAACTGAAGGCACCTCTGGAACTCACTCAAGTGCCACCAAAAATAAACCCAGAATATTACCTGCTGATAGAGGGACTTATATTGTCCTGTGTCTGAAGTACCAAAGCATCTGTCAAATACTCCCCATAAGTATTCTATAGATTTTCTTTTTCCCAGACCATAAAACATTGAAGTGACTAAGCTTATCTGATTTCTGAGTGGAGGGAGAACATGGTGGAGCAAAAGGAAAGAGATGAGATGAGGCTCCCCTGGCTGACTGTAAAAGTGCAAGAAGCTGGGACATATCGAAGTCCTCTGATGCAAATGATTGCCCAAAACTCCAAAGGAGAAAAATGTTCTAATCTTCATAGCTGCAGACAAAATCAATGACATAATAAAATCAGGGTACTGCAAAGATGCATGCAATCCAACTTCGATATGATACTTGTACAACAGAATAGAACACAAGTTTTATGGGATCTCAATATCTCATTTTAAGAGCTATCTTACAAAGATAAGAGTGTTTTTTACATTTGATGAAAACAAAAGCAAAGAGAAAACCCACCTGCCTTACAAGCTGTCTGCACTTCAATCTACTGTGGGTCAGAATTTTTCGAAATAGGGACATAAAAGCATCAGATATTACAGAAAATAAGATCAAGGTGAGTACTACAAACAACATGTCTGGAAACCTCTTGCCTGCAGACTGATGAGCTTATACCTACAGACTGGTTATTCTCCCAAGAAACAGGCACCATCTCTGGCACATGCTGGCCTAAGTACTCCCTAACAGCTGACTTGTAGATGAAAATATTTTAGCTTGTTTCCAGATCACCCAGATTAAAAGAGATGACATAAAACACTATTGGTAAAAAAAGCTCACAAAAAAATGAAGTTAAATATTTCAAGGTTTTGAAAAGTTACCACATTATGATGCAACTGGCAAAAGCCTACTTTTTTTTCCTATTAAATTTCTCAATAAGTCTCAAACTGAAGACACTGAGCAGTTCCTGCAGCAAGACATCAACCAAACTTGATAGAAAATGTAGTAATGTCCCTACCTGCACTCCACCACAATGTCTGCTGATATCAACACAACCTGTCAGAACTTTTTGATAAACTGCATTGTGTTAACCAGAAAATTTTCCAAGCACAGCTATCAAGAGGTTTTCTGCATGCAGCAATGTGTTTTACCTAAGTAAATAGAAAATGACCATTCTTCTTCCTTAAGATGGTTTGAAAACTGCAAGCTGGCATTGTAAAATGCAAGAAAAGTAGAAAGAAACACCTATGTCACATCTATGTACTATTTAATGTAGCTTTTATTGTCTTCAGTTGGAACAGTATTGCTTCTGGTTCCATTTAACTCTATCCTTATTTTAAGTAGATAGGTTCAGTGTGCACGGCTATGCAGTCAGCTCCTGAAGAGACGTTACCAGAGCCTGGGAGATACTCAACAAAGCTCTAAGAATGAGAGAGATTCCATACTCTCTGATCCTTTTTGACCAGGGAAAATAGACTTCAGCTTTTGTTTAACAGTCTCTTGGCTAAAAAAAAGGAAATTGGAGAGGGTGCTCTTTTTCCACCCAATCCTCAAAGAAATTTTCCTAAATATTGAATACTTTTAAACAGAAAATATCTTAAGCAAGAGAGAATCTGAATAGATGAAGGGATATGGTGAAATGGAAGATGACTTCTGTGTCAAGGATGATAAACAATGAGTACATTTATAAATGACAGGAGGTGCCCTAGAAAATAACATGCAATAAATAAGTGTAATAGCTCAGTAAATCTTAATAACTGGGCACAGTAAAATACTGATTTTTGCCCATGCATGAGACAACACATCCAGTGCTCCCAACTCAAGACATTTTTCAAGCTTTTCACCAATATTATTACTGAGGTGACCAAAAAATTCTCCAAAGTTAAAAATGTCAATGCTAGGTACCTATTTACTCTTCAGCCATAAAGTCAATGCTGGGTATCTATCTGCTCTTCAGTTATGAAGTTATGGGCTGTCTTCCTGCAGTCTTGAGATGTAAGCCTGGGGCTGTGGTGAAAGGTTTTATTTCTACTCCATGTTTTAGCAAAACTATGTATAACATTGCATGTTCCTACAGTTTTTCTTCCAAGGGCACCTATTACTCAGGTAAGAAACTACAGCAGCAATCTGAACCCAGAGAATGATCAGGGCATTTGAGGGATTTTCAAAAGGTGGCGTATGGCCCAGTTTGTGAGCCACACAACCTTATGTGCAGATCACTCGTTTCAACCAAAGCAAAATCTGTAAAGCATTGAAAAGTTTTTGCAGCTTAATTTCACTCAAATTACTCTTCCAAAAAGGTTTAATGTCCTAAATGCCTTGTAAGCTGACAAACGCACTCTTCAGAAAGAGGCACCACCACTGGTAGAGGACAGCAAAGGGGGCCCAGATATGACACTCGCTCTTTCTAGTAGTTGCAATCCTTTATCTTGCTTTCTTTTTGTAATTTAGTTTGTCATTGTATTTTTCAATTTTGCTATGTTGATACTCACTACAACCTGTACTAGTGTCAGTCATGTACTGACATAAGAGTCAGAAACAAAACTCCTTCTGTACAGGAAGGAAGGAGAAACCACACAACTTAAACTTGTTTGAAGTTCCAGCCCAGTACTAAAATACTTCCAGCTTGCATCTCAAATAATTGTATCTAAAATCATATTGTTTATACTACTTAAAACTCATTAAAAAAATTCTATAAAACATCAATAGAACTTCAGAGCTTATTTCTATATCATTATAACCAGTGTTGTAACTAGCATTATGTAATTAAGTGAAATTTGAAGTGAGGAACTGGTATTAGAGCAGGACCATCACTAGGTTTGTGAGATTTCCCATTTACTTTATAAGCTTAGTTACTGAACACCAGAAGTGTCCAGTATCTGAATACAGAATCTGAAATATAGTGTTTGTAATTCTACTGTCATTCATTCTCAGGAAATATGAGCCTGATTGACCTGGGCTGCTGGTAACTCAAATCAGTACTTTTCCAGTAGACTACTGTTGGTCCTTCTGTACATAGCAACAGAAAGTATGAGATCAGTATCTCTTCTAAAACGTACAGAATGTACCAGGAGAGGGAACCACAGAGGAAATATAAATATTTAAAGGTTGTTGTTTTTTTTTTTTTCTAAAAAAATTACTGAAATTCAGAGGCACAATAATATTTAGAAGATTTTTTTAAAAATTACATTACGTCCCCAATACATATAATGCAGCAGCTAATTTTCAACTGAAAGGAAAAGCAAAGCTTCAGGGAAATACTTCAAAGGGTCAAAACACTTATCAAATCAAAATTCTTGCCATCAGTGAGCAGAACTGTTTCAGTCTCTGTGGACAGCTTGTTTATTATCCCCCAACCTTTCCTGGAGGGTGCAAGGAAAACTCCACAAGCTGGAGGCAGAGCTAGACTTCAGAATTTCAATATTTAATGCCAAATGCAAAATCTTAACCTAATATTCAGTATCCATGTTTTATGGGGTCATAAAGGTGAAAGGCCAGGATAAAAGAGATCCAGCAGCAGCAATGTGAAATGTCCAAGAGCTGTTGTTGCAAAAGGTTCCAGTATTAAATATGAAAATAACTCCCTAAAGCCCCTTTGGACGTTACTAACACTGATCTTTTTTTGCAAAAAAGCTCCTC